GTCTGAACACACCCTATGTTTCTGTTTTGGGAGGGGAGATGGTTGGTTGAGCGGCATCTGTTTGATCATGACATAACTGAAGCAGAGAGACATGTCAGAGGTCTTGGTTGTTCATTTACGGTATCAAAAAACAAGTGTATTTGTGTGCATGTGTACAATGTAATTTGTGTGTTCTTGTGTAATATCGGTAAATATCGGCTATCGGCCATAACAGCAATAATTAAATCGGATATCGAATGAAATTTTCACATCGGTGCATCTTTAGTTCCATGAATGTTTTAAGATACAACTTGTAGTTTTTGAGCAGCAGCTGTTTGTTTCAGGCCTACTTTTTGTAGTGTGCTTCCTGTCCGCCTCTCCTGCTGTGAGGGTGGCAGACACAGGTGTGTGGTTACAATGGTCACTAATGGAGGAAGCACTGGCAGCATGTCTTACACCACAATGTTGCCATTTTGATTAAAACAAAATGAGTGTTGAATCTTTTGGGTTTGAATGCCCCTGACCAGCCTGGAAAACTTAGAAACATTGCAGCCTCAATATGTTGTAAACACCAGATAGATGAGCTAAAAAAGATCAGTTCTTGYTTAAAAGGCTGTTTTTGTCGCACAGTGGACACAGTCTAAACTAACTAAAGGTGTATTTTTTTCCCCTACAACCCAATAATCAAGCTTAGTTCAGTGTCTGAGCTTAAAAACACAACATTCCGTTATAGTTGTTGTTGATGAAAGCCTACCTGTCCTCTCTCAAAGTTTTCCCTCTCCAGCTCCAGGCTGTTGGCCCCTCCAGTCCGTCGGATCACTTTAGGGATAGCGTTGGGGACTTGCTGCATGGAGCTTTTCACTCGATCCATTGTTGTAGCTTGTAACATAAAAAAAAAAAACTAACAATCGCGAGAAGAAGAGAAATAGCGGGTTAAGCGTGTAAAGGATTTTAAATATATATGTATAAAAGCGGTCACAGCTATGGCGGGAAGCCGTCCATGCTGCTGTGGTCCTGTTCACTGGAGCATTCGGCCCTTTTTCTGTCCGACAGCCTCGTCAATGACAGCAGATTCACAGACCGACAGCAGCGTGAAGCTAACCAGGCTAAGAGCCGAATACTACTTCCGTTTGGGTTTTTCAAAATAAGGTCCCGAGCGACGCTCGTTCAACGCCCCAGAGTTTTGAAAGGAAAATCGATAGCAGTGGCACTCACATTGTTGTTTTCTATTTGTAGTTTTTTATGTACGTTTTTTTTTACAATCAAACTAACTCTCCCCAAATATATTGTGTTATGACTTATTTGTGATTTTTAAAAAAAAAAAAAAAACTTTTTAATTTATGTAACTTTACTTATAATCCCATAGAAGTACACTGTGATTTAGGCTACCTTCAAAAACATTGTTCTCTGAAATTGTCCTCAGTACAGGCTACTTGCACTACTTTAATCAATTTATWGCAGCGGTGTCCAAAGTGTGGCCCGGGGACCATTTGTGGCCCCTGAACTGATTTTGTGCGGCCCCTGACTTCAGTTCAAGAATTATACTAATGTGTCCACAAATTTGTCTACCTGGCACAGGTGTTAGACGTAGATGAGAGACTTTCTATTTTTTATTAGGACAAAATGATCACAGACAAAGTAAAATCTTCTTCCAATCATAAATATTGGYAACAACGCCAATCATTTGACTTTAAATAACCAGGCTGTTGGCTTTTTCCACATCGATCTAATGACTTCTACTGAAAAGCTGATTTTGCTGCACTCCAATCTGCTTTTAATTTATTTATTGAATTTGGCTGAATAAACCAAGCATTTTCAACAAAAGGGTGACCTAAATCCGGATTTTATTGATCACATCATATTGAATAATTTGATACAATTGCCAAATTTCTTTCAATAAGAGAATCCTGCAAAACACTTTCAAAGTTCTGGATCTTGATTAATTTACGTTTCCATTTCCAGCAATAAATCTGACTACTTTATTTGTTTAATTAAAGTATTCAGTGCTTAGTTTATTGTTGAGCAGGTAAAGGAAAAAACTATTTTTGGCCCTCAAGTCCTTCTGACTTTATGATTTTGGCCCATGTGACAAAATGTTTGGACACTTCTTTTAGCTTCCTGCTGTTGGATTACTAACTGGAGCATTTAGCTATTGTTTACACAATTTTAGACTTCACTTCACATACAAATGTGCTACATTATCTTAGCTTTATTTTTATACATACAGCATTTAGATACTGTTTTGGTAATATTTGCTTATAACTGCTGTTTTGTCAAATTAATCTTTTAATTATTGTCTTGCTAACTGTATGTTATGCATTCGATTTAATTTTAGCTTTTAGTCATGCTTTAGCTACATTTAGCTTTTAGCAATGATTTGCTAATTTAGCCTTTTCCTACATTTTTGCCCAGCTATATAG